TGCAATAGAAGAGTCAGTCCAAATTGTCCAACCAATGTTACCAAAGGGAAGTTTCTAGATCTCTTTTTAAATTTATTTTGTTTTAGGGGATCCCTGGGTGGCTCGGTGGTTTGGCTCCTGCCTTTGGCCCAGGACGCAATCCTGGAGTCCCAGGATCGAGTCCCGGCATGGAGCCTGCTTCTCCCTCCTCCTGTGTCTCTGCCTCTCTCTCTCTCTCTCTCTCTCTCTCTCTCTCTCTGTCTATCATAAATAAATAAATTAAAATAAATAAATAAATAATTTTGTTTTAAAAATAAATAAATACATTTGTTTTGTTTTATTTTTGTAATGCACCTTCTGATATAAGCGTACAATAGTTTACAGATAAGCAATTAGTATAAACATCTTATCATAGTAAATTAGTGTGTATCTTGACATGTCTAAATTAGGTAACAATATTTATTTTGAAATCACCTATTTCTTGACAAAAGATACCATCAGAATTTTCTAGTTAGGTAAGGAATGTGTCATTGAATAAGTATGATTTTATTATGAGAATAATTAATTATTCCACCTATGATTTCTAATTGTCCTTTTTTGGTGTGTGTGTGTGTGTATGTGTGTGTGTGATACATTTTTGACTTAAGTATTTTATTTTATCTGTTTTTAATTAGTAATTACTTTTAATGGAGTAGAGGGGAAAAATACATGTAATTTGAAAATGTTACTGATAAAATTTCTTCTGTTTCATTCCTGTAATAATGATTATAAGCATAATTAGGGTAATGAGATTATGAAAATAGTATTAAATTACTCAGCTTAAGTATGTATTTAGAGACATGAAGAGAACAGAATCCTGTTTATGATAAATTACATGTTTCTGATGATGTTTAAAAGAATTAATTTTAAAGAAAGTTACTAAAATCATCTTTTTTAAAGTGGTTTCACAAATATTCATACTATTTTATTCCTTTTTTGTACTATTTTTAGAACACAGTTTTTACCCATGTTCCTATTACTGTTTCTATCATCTAGTTGCTATTAGAATAAATGCTTCATAAATACTTACCTGCTGTAGTTGAAATTGTACTCAACTATACTTATCTCTCTGGCTTCAGACTCTGCTAGAAGAGACTTAGAATTCTCCATTACTTTGAAAGCAAGCTCTTCATATTCCTCTAAGTCAAGTTGTGAAAAGGAGAAAGTGCAGAAAGGGTTCCACAGGGAGACACTATTTTACTTGCCTCTTCCCTTTCCCAAGTAATCAAAGGAAAAAACTGATCTAGAAGTGGCATTAGTAGTCTTCATAACATGAGACTAGAGGAAACACCACAGCTAGAACTCTGATTTCTTTCCTTGGATACTTGAGAGGTCCTGCAATAGGAGGCAAAGCTTATAGGTCAAAAGAAGTGCTGAGGTGCTTCAAGAAGCTTAGTACCATCGGTTATACCTAGCCTATGTGTTTTTATCTTTGTTCAAGATATCAACTGACTTTTGATATCATGTGATACATGATTTTACTTAAAGAAGCCTTTTCATATGTGCATTATCATTGGTGCTGAAAAGATGGAGGAGGGTGCTAAAATGATCTTATTTTCTCCAAAGCAGTTATCCGTATACAACTAGCATAAGATGTTTGTGGATAGAATGCTCTTACAGAATGAAATATGCTATCATTAATGTATATTTATGAATGTGTAGATTAATCCTAATTAATGAGGAATTAAATTTTCAATATTTTTCCCGGGAATTATTTTCTAAAGTGACAAGTGACACAAACACTCAGAGACAACCAACCTGCACTAAAAGCTCTTAAAATAAATTTTAAATTGGCTTATAGATTCATTTGTAGTTATACTTTTAGGTTGTTAATGCATTTCTAGACATAATTGCCATTTCTTTTTTTTTTTTAAGATTTTATTTATTTATTCACGAGAGACACACACACACACAGAGAGAGAGAGAGAGAGGCAGAGACACAGGCAGAGGGAGAAGCAGGCTCCATGCAGGGAGCCTGACGTCGGACTCGATCCTGGGTCTCCAGTATCACACCCTGGGCTGAAGGCAGCGCTAAACCGCTGAGCCACCAGGGCTGCTCTAATTACCATTTCTTTATAAAACTTAAATTCAGTACATTTTATGTATACTTTCTTTACCATTAAAGTATGTTTGATGAAATTTATAAGAATAGATGTGTTTTATGTTAATGAGTATGTGAGATTAAATCATTACTTGTTAATAGCTATCTGAAAAACAAGTAAAGATAAGCATGACAATTTTGTAGATAAAAGAAATCTTACTGCTATATTTATTTAAAGAAAGAATCATTTGATTTTGAGAAGTAGCAAGTGAAAAAATAGGCTTTGTGTATATAGTTCTATATGACATATTAGGGAAGAGGAGAAATGTATATATAGCATGACATATGCAAGAAAAAATTCTAAATACTTCAAAATACATATTATTTAATAATACATATTACTGAGATAGTTTTTAAAATAATTTAAAAATGTAATCTCCAAAATAAAGAAAAGCTTTTTTACTGTGCATTTTAATATGCCTTGAGTGAAGAGTAATTCTTATTTCTCATTATGCACCCTCTCAAAAAAATTGCATTTTAGAAAGATGTCCCACAGTGTTATGCCAAATCTCAGCATTTACTCTAACATGTCCATATTATCCAATTAGCATTGTTAACGCATAACTACCAAAAGCACAACTAATTTGAATGGCCTGGGACCTAATACCAGATGCAATAAGTTAGTGAAGAGATTCCAAGGTGACTTAGTAGCAATTATATTTCTAAATGTCAGAATAACCAATGTTAACATGCTGATTTTAGAACCAGTGTCCCATTATTTCTTACATGATTTTCCTGAGAAACCAGAAGCTAGAATTGAGAAATATTAACGGAAAATTACTAATAATCCTTATAGTACTCTACATGATGTTATTACTTCTATAATTCTTCCTTTTTCTGGGACCTAGGTGGATCAGCTGGTTAAACGTCCAACTCTTGATTTCAGCTCGGGTCGTGATCTCAGGAACATGAGATTAAGCCCTACGTTGGGCTCCCTGCTCAATGCAGAGTCTGCTTGAGATTCTCTCTTTTCCTATGCCCCTGCCCCCCCTTTTAAAGGACCTAAAGAAACACCGTCTGGAAATTTCAAATCTTTTCTATGCCTCATTGGTCAAACATATTTTAGTGATTTTATATAAATAAATAAATAAGTACTAAAGAAACAAAGACTAAACATATTGTCTATGTTCTTATTACACAGTCAACATTGAAATAAAATGTGAATATGGGTAAATGTCATTAGGGAACATTAGGCTGCTGATAAAAATGACTGAGCAAGATCTTTCTTACCCATTTGCATCATTTCTATAAGTGATGTAATGACAAAAATATAAACTTGGGCTGAGTCTCTCTCATAAGGTTTTTCAGTTTCAAGGGCATGCCCACCCCCTTCTTTAACAACACAAAACACACAGCTGCCTTAAGTAATTACGGCCTTTAGATTTAGACACTAGATCTTCTACAGCAAGTGAGTTTATTTCATTTATATTCATCAGATGCTGTTGTGGCAGACAGAGTTCATGACAACAGAGATCATTTAACATTAATGCTTAACATTGTGCATATGGGGGATTGTATGTTCAATCCTGGTCATTCAGTACAAAAATGCATGCCAATTTTGGCATGACAATTTGTGACGGTACCAAAAAGTAGAGTAACTGTTTATTGAATAGTTTCATTCTATGAAATGCATTTGATTGACGTTTTTTCTTCCTTCTCAAGAGGTGTAAGTATCAGAAAGAGAAAAAGAAAAATAGAATGGTGAAGGAAGGGAGAAGGGATTGCGGAGGAGACAGCAAAGATTGCACCCAATTGATAGTTGCTGCAAATCAAAAGCCACCACTTTCTACACCCTCAAAGGGGCTTATGTTTAAAAATATCATCAATCACAATAAAAGAACAAAAGACAGTCATTGCCCTCCCCCACTCTGCCCCCATGGAAATTTCAGTTTAAAATACTGATTTGTTAGAATATTCTAACCCAGCTAGGACTGAGTCAAAATGTCAAAATGTCAAAGTCCAGCTAGGACTGAGTCAAAAAAGTCAAAATGCCAACCCCGGTCAGGGTAGAAAAGTTAATATCTGTGAACATCCGCTGATGAGAACTGATGGGCAGCTGTCACATGCCCCAGAACTGGTCGGATTATCTAGTCATCTCTCAGGATAATCCACAAGGCCAGATTTGTTAATCCCTATGATTGGTAAAGATTATCTGAAAACAGGAAAAGGAGAGCCAGATCCAGGTTACGAATTATATTTTCTGGCTCAGCGTACTTATTAGGAGAAATGTGTTGAATAGTTAACAATATTGTACTTAATTTTAAAATTTAAGGATAAGGAAGCAACTGTACTGTGCCAACATCGTCTAGTTTATAAAGGCCGCTGACAGAGTTTCGCTTAAATTGTTGTTTGCTTGGTGAACCTCAGCTTCTCCTCCTTCAACTTCCCAAATAAATCTTATCCCTTTAGAGTCAATTTATGTTTCCCAGCATAATGATGCATTTTACCCATTCAGCTCTGCTAGCGCTCTCCGAAGCCAGCCAGCAATGATCTCACCTCACCTACAATATAAATCTATCAGTGAATAAACAACATCATTTTTATTTCAATGCCGATGACACACTACATGTCGATTTGGCAGTTAAATAATTTATCCCTCTTTTGGGTGCAATCTGCCAGGCTTATTATAACTCTACTTCTGATAGTCATTTCATGTTTAATAGTTCTTTGCCTCATGAGGATGCTTGTCAATCAATTAAATTGAAATGTCATTCTGACCTTTTATTGGAAACAGTTTATTCTTTTTTTTTTCATTTCATCACAAGCTTTTTTCCATTTTATTCAAACTGAAAGCCTTAATGACTAGTATTCAGAAACTTTATACTAATTAACCTTATAAAACGACATGCTCATCAACATTACTGACACTTTATCTTTGCAGAGGTTATCCAGTTGAGTCTGCCTGAAGATCAGAAACTGAGCATCACAGCGGCAACTGTGGGACAAAGTGCTGTCCTGAGCTGTGCCATTCAGGGGGCACTGAGACCCCCCATCATCTGGAAGAGGAACAATATTATTCTAAATAATTTAGATTTGGAAGACATCAATGTGAGTACATCCATAGATGTTGCTTTCTGATTTGCATATTTCACATGATGTGCTCGTGACTTGGTGAAACCTGAGGAGCTTAATGAATGTTGGATGAAGAGTAGGAGAGAATATTGGAGCATTGTCGTAGCCACGCTACCGGCTGGGAGGTGCTCAATAGGTTGTTTGAAATGATCCAAATCACTGGTGTAGGTATGGCGATGGAGCACTGTGCTAGTGGGATCAGAGTAGCTTAAACCAATGCTGTCTGACTGTCAGAATTTCTACAGTTACCAACAATCAAGCCTTACGTATTTGCAGGTGTGGTTGAGCAAAAGCCTATAGCTTGTGAGGTTTTAGATGGGGGTAAAGGCAGTCTTTGCTTCAAACACTTTATAAGGTATTAGAAATAATGAATATTAATCAGGCAATAAATGGTTTATTTTCCTAGAATGAAATGGGAATAAATTTCTCTACTCAGGTTCACTCTTAGAGATTCGGACTCTCATTTGAAACCAGTGTGAAAGAGTACGGCTTTGAAAAGGAAACAAACAGGTTATTATCTGTTCCTTCTGTGCTATGTGATCCGAGTTGAGGGTTAAAAAGTATATATCATCCTAGATGATGAAAAGAGGTAAAGCTCGTTTGCTATGGGATGCCCATGGAAATGACATAGGACAATCCGTTGTCTTGGTGATTTGGGAATTTATGTTCTCTATACATATACATTTTCATTTTTTAATTATTATTGCTCAGAAAAGCCAGCACCTATTTGCTCATTCTTTGTTGCTTCATAAAGAACCCCTAAAACACAGATCCAAGAGAGTCATTCCTATGTATTACATCTTACTAATATTCTTGTTTCATGTCCTCAAATGATTCAAAACATAAGCTTTCCAATTTTAATTTTTTTATTTAACATTTTTGTCTAAATTTGCTTACATCGAAATTTCTACAGAGAGTATATGGAGTATGATATTTAATTCTTATGATATCAAGAACACTGAGCATTAGAATAGCTATCATCTCAGCAGCATTCAATAATCTTTGAGAGATACAGTCTTAGATAAAGCCACCTTGGGCTTTCTTATATGTTGTTACGTCTACATTTTATCTTTTTCTATCTTCGTTCCTCCTATCAAGTTTTCCACTGTGATATCCAGAGGCCCATGTGCTGTGGTTTGAATACCTCAAAAAAATCTCATTTGAGTTGTTTCAATAAGGAAGTATATGTTATGAGTAATATCCTGGGAAAAACTGTAAAAAAAAGAGCTCATTCTTGTGCATGTATCTTGCAAATTATTTTACTTCCTAACTTCTGATTCTGTTCTAGAAACTTGAAATTTCTAAGAAAATTATTATAGATAAGTTAGGTGTCCAAAAAATTTGTAAGTATTAGATAAATTCTGGCATCAGTAAATTGATTTGTATTGGATAAAGTTACTTTGGTTACATGCACAGAACAGGTACATTTTGAGAATTTTAAAAACATCTTTAAGATTTAGAAAGTTTCCATTTCACTACAAGTCATAGTTAAATAAGTTGGATAAACATTCATAACCCATAATGTACATATAACAAGCTACCAGCCTTCCAAACAAAACTGCAGAGATATCTTTGAAAGGGATATTTATTCAATTTCCCAATATATTACGGTGTTTTCATTTAAATGCCTTTACCAATGTAACTAAAGTGTGAAATAAACAGTTTAGTTTAATAAAATATTACTTACCGTGTTTTGTTTTATACTTATTCCTGCTTAAAGTCTGCTATAATATTCATCATGTAAATAAACTATTTATGGGTATCTATCCATCTGTATATAGAGTTTATTAGTTAATAAACTAAACACATAATTTTTATATATAACTGCATTAAATATATTAAATGATTATATAATCAACTATATGTTATAGTATATATATTTGTCATATAATAACCTAGTATTAACTACATTGTTTTATATATATGTATGTATATATATATATATTCAGAGAAGGAGAGAGTCAGTACTGTCTCTAGTGAACATCTTATGTGTCATCTAATTATTCAACATCTTTTGAACAACCCTACAAATATTTTGGCAGTGCTTTGGTTCTTTGCTTTTCCAAGCCAGAAACTTAGTTACCTTAATTAGCCTTCTTCACAGTTAGGGAGCAGATATGTGAATAAGGCTGCAACGAAGACACTGCTGAACAAGGTTTCATTTTGTAGCAAGAACAGGGAATTGCAGGTGCTTTACAGAATTCCCTCTCCCCTCCCTCCTACCTGGTGAGTGCTGTGGCAGCAGATCCTACTTGCAAGGACGTCAGTGATAAAAATTCTAGAGTTGGTCAGTGTTCAGCTTCAGTTGCATCTTCATGGGTCAGTCTCAAGATGAGGCCTGTGCTTTTTTTCCCTGGCTTTTCATTCCCTAAGGATGACACTCAGTTCTGGATATCTTATGACTTTCTGAATAGCTTCCTTAAATGGCATTCCTGCTTAAAACTAGCTGGAATGGGTTCTATTATTTGCCCCAAGAATGTTGTCTAAATAATTTTATATTAAATTAGTATTAAATTAAATTATTAAATTATCCTAACATATTAATAAATTAAGAAACATCTATAATTGTATCTTCTTAAAATGTACGTTTCATCATTAGATACAGATTTTGGATGTCTTGAAAGATCAAGATGACCTTACTCTTATAAAATACATCCTTTGTTTATAAGCAAAAAGAACTTTCAAAACTTCCAGATATGAGTCAATGTTATACCCAATCAGTATATATTTATTCCCACAAAAGCGAGCTTAATTCCCATTAAATTATGTAAGGTTAAAATCGTAAGTGCTTTTCCTGTCAAAAGAAATTGATGACAATTTTCAATATTATTTCTGATTCTTTAATATATATTAGGTAGGATTTAATACATATTTACCTGGGCAATATATAAATTCTTTCTGACTACAAAAGATTACAATAATATAGATATATTTTTAAAAGCCTTATAATGGCTCCTTTTTTATATCCACTAATTCCCATTCTTAACTGCAGAAGAAATCCTGTGAGTACGTTTTTAATTTCCCTTCCGTGCATTGCATCTATAATTTTATTTATTTATTAGGATAGATTCATATTAATTCTCATTATGTCACTACTTTATTATCTTATTAGCCCTAAAGACAACTCCGTGAAACAGGGAATTTTTTGGGGCTGGTGGTGCAGAAAATCTTACCCTCATTTACATTTGTGGGGATTTATGCCAAGACAGTTATTCACCCAAGGTTGTTGAGCTAATAAGTGGTACAGTTAGGATGTTTATTTATTTTTTTTAAGGTTTTATTTATTTATTCATGAAAGATGCAGAGAGAGAGACAGAGACATAGGCAGAGGGAGAAGCAAGCTCCCTGCAGGGAGCCTGATGTGGTACTGGATCCCTTGACCCTGGAAACACTCTCTGAGCCAAAGGCAGATGCTCAACCACTGAGCCACCCAGTCATCCCCCAGTTGGAATGTTTATATACATTATTGACTCTCATTCTTGAACTTAACCACTGTGTGGAAGTGGGATGGTCTGTCATTTTCTGCTACCCTTTGCAAAATGTATCCCAAATAATTTGTCCCCAAATAATTACTAATAGGTTTTATATTCTCTGTTATTATGGGTGGGACTAATTGATACCACTTGATGTTAGAAGCCTTTCATTTGGCTTGTCTTCTGTCTTGCACCAAGTGAATAAAAGAGCCCTACTCAATTACTGGAGGCAGTGACAAGGATGATTTGCAAAATGGGCTGGTTTCTAATTAACATATAGTCTCTAGGGACTGATGTGTCCTCAAGGTATTTAACCTGCTTATGCCCAGCTTCTTTATCTGCAAATTGAAGATAATAGTAGAATGAACTCATTTTTGCATGAGAAGTAATGAGATAAAGCATTTTTTTAATAAATTAATTTTTATTGGTGTTCAATTTACCAACATACAGAATAACACCCAGTGCTCATCCCGTCAAGTGTCCCCCTCAGTGCCTGTCACCCATTCACCCCCACCCCCCGCCCTCCTCCCCTTCCACCACCCCTAGTTCGTTTCCCAGAGTTAGGAGTCTTTATGTTCTGTCTCCCTTTCTGATATTTCCCACACATTTCTTCTCCCTTCCCTTATATTCCCTTTCACTATTGTTTATATTCCCCAAATGAATGAGAACATACACTGTTTGTCCTTCTCTGATTGACTTACTTCACTCAGCATCATACCCTCCAGTTCCATCCACGTTGAAGCAAATGGTGGGTATTTGTCGTTTCTAATGGCTGAGGAATATTCCAGTGTATACATAAACCACATCTTCTTTATCCATTCATCTTTGATGGACACCGAGGCTCCTTCCACAGTTTGGCTCTTGTGGACATGGCTGCTAGAAACATCGGGGTGCAGGTGTCCCGGCGTTTCATTGCATCTGAATCTTTGGGGTAAATCCCTAACAGTGCAATTGCTGGGTCGTAGGGCAGGTCTATTTTTAACTCTTTGAGGAACCTCCACACAGTTTCCCAGAGTGGCTGCACCAGTTCACATTCCCCCAACAGTGCAGGAGGGTCCCCCTTTCTCCGCATCCTCTCCAACATTTGTGGTTTCCTGCCTTGTTAATTTTCCCCATTCTCACTGGTGTGAGGTGGGATCTCATGGTGGTTTTGATTTGTATTTCCCTGATGGCAAGTGATGCGGAGCATTTTCTCATGTGCTTGTTGGCCATGTCTAGGTCTTCCTCTGTGAGATTTCTGTTCATGTCCTTTGCCCATTTCATGATTGGATTGTTTGTTTCTTTGCTGAGTTTAATAAGTTCTGAGATAAAGCATTTTAAAATGGGTAACACTCTATGAGTCATATTGTAAATGTTCAGTTAAACTAGACTCTGTCTTTTCTTCTCTCTTGTCCTCCTCCTCCCGACGCTTCCTCCTGCTTCTTTCTCTTTCTTCTAATATATGTTTCAACAGCACAGAAACACTCAACCTGCCTAGAACAACAGGAATTCAATGTTAGAACA